CTTAATGGCACAGATGAAGACAAAAATGCTGCAGCCAACGGCATGGTCGACGGCTTCAAAAATGCCGGCTTTATGTAACCCCCCTATGAAGCCTACCTCACCAATACTATCTCGCCAACTGACCCTCATAGCTACATCAAGAACCACGGCGTCCCGCAGCCCTTGATCGACCGTGTCTTCGCCGAATCAGCCCTTTTCTTCGCTCGACCTAAAGACCAGAAAAACACACTCGCCTGGACCACCCCCGAGTCAAACCGTGGGTATGTTTCTCACGGTCGTGAGAAAGTAACACAGCTCGCCGACCCCACGCTCATCCAAGCGCTCCGCAACGCAAACCCCGATCTCAAAGAGTCTTTTGAGATTGGCCGTGACCATGTACCCGGGCTACCAAACCACTGGCCGGAACACCTCGACGAGGAGGGGAAGGTCTTTACTAAGACGATGAAGACCTTCTTCGAGACGTGCAAAGGGTTACATATCGAGGTTATGCGTGCCATAGGCTTAGGTATGGGCCTGGAGATGGGCTTCTTCGACAAGTTCACCTCTGGTGGTGATAATACGCTGCGCCTACTCCATTATCCGGCCGTTAAGAAGGATGTATTTGTCAAGAATAGGGACCAGGTCAGAGCAGGCAAACATACGGATTATGGCAGTATCACGCTGCTGTTTCAGGATGATAGAGGCGGCTTGCAGGTTAAGAGTCCGCAGGGGACTTTTGTGAATGCAACACCGATCCCGGGCACTAGTGAGTATTTCATATCTATGCAATGAAGTTTTGGAGGAGAAGTGTACTGATATGGTGTGCAACGTACGCCAGTTGTGATTAACGCTGGTGATCTGCTGGCGAGGTGGTCGAATTGTAAGATCAAGTCTACCGAGCATCAAGTCGTAGAGCCGCCGATTGCGCCAGATCGTGATGAGTATCCTGCCCGGTACTCTTGCGCGTAAGGCCTTACCTCATCTCCTTATTATTGTATGATATGCTGATAAAGAGATATTTAGATATTTCTGTAATCCGAACTTCGAACAGTACATTGAGGCACTCCCAGGGACATACCAGAGTGAAGAGGATAAGAAGTTTCCGGGAATCCTGAGCGGTGATTACTTGGTGCAGAGGTTACAGAGTACTTACACCACTTGAGCGCTTGTTTTTATTTATTGTGGGTTTGAGTTGGGGTATGGGGTTTGGAATGCATTGACTTTTGGGACGGACTTGAATTGTGGTTTTTATTTCTGCTGGCTAGTTGCAATCGACCGTTTTTGAGGAGCATGTTGTCTTGTCGCAATGATGATATGATTCAAGTCCCGCGCTTCTACATGTACTTGGTGTTGCGGGTTGTTCTAAATATCTATGTATGCCTGGGTGTTTCCCGCTGGGACGACTAACTATAACTAAGTAGCAGGTACTTACGTAGGTACATACACATATAGGAAACCAAAACTAAGAACTCAGCCGAAAACATAGTACCGCGACTATGTAGAGAGGCGCCTGTATAGCTTAGTCCTCAAAACTTTATTTTCAAATGGACAAGGAATCCTATCTTCACGGGTCGGGAGTACCGTCATGATATCTTATGGATCAGAATAAAGAATCTTGATAAAGACAAGCTAGGGATACTTTCTTTACATTATTCTTGCCGGCTTACAGTTTCACTCTATACATCGTTTACCGACTTACAATTTTCGGGTCACATACCCTGGTGTATTCGACACTTCATGACCTCAGGAATTTTAATTGTTGGTACTGGAATATTGACTCCTACCCCAGATCTATGCGATTATAATTGGGCTGCTCTATTGGGAACCGTTCCGATCCTATCTATAACAAATATATAATAGAGTTGCTCTCAACGAGGGATGGACACATCGCCATGAGAGGGTGAACCTTCATGAACACAAAAATTACAGTCGGCAGGTGTAGTATTGAGCTTATCTTCTAAGAGGGGAGGTATAAAGTCAACTTTTTCTGACTTCTTTTTTTGTTCTGTGTCCATGTAGCACCCTCTTGAGGCATAGGCTCTTGTGCAACTACTAAGTAACTACTTACACGTAGATGAATGTATATCAAATGAGTTACATGGGGACGGGATGACAAGGACTATGGATACGTTTGAGGTCCTTGAAATTGCTCACGGTATACTATAGTAGCTCACATACGCTCGACACGACATATATATGGTACGGAAAGAGGCATGCAATCCGTATCCTCAACATAAAATGCCATCTCGAATCTTCGTTCTAATACAAGTATTGTGCCACTTTATAATAATACCGCGGTTCAAAGATATATTTCTGCCGTAGTAGGTTCGCCCGCCCTTTAATTTAATGGTAACTGGTTGAACAAAGTAAATAATGCGGCTAGCCAGATATGCGTACGGGAATAGAGTGTGTAATTGTCTCAGTGTTATATCTACATGTTGAAGTGTTAGGTGTCGCCTCATAATCATTGAGGTGCATTTTTTCGGTGGCTTTGTTTATCGCGAAATCTAGATGATTGTCTGTGATAATGAGAATCATGAGTGATCACTCGCCTTGGGGGATTAGTAGCCGTATAATTGATGCTACCGGCCTATCTCAATTAGTGTTCGCTTGATCTTTTTCAATCATCAATGATACCTCCCCATACTCTCGCGGAACAATCAATCGAAAAAATCTCGCTACCGGTGATTTTCTGCAAGGGATCCGGATGACATCAGCTTTCTTATCCCTCGAGCCGCGTGATCCCGATGCAAAGTGGAGAAACCAGGAGTAATAAGCCTTTAGCCCTTCCCAGATATTACGTGTAATTGCTCTACAGAGCTAAGGGCTAGATGTATCGATACTTAATTAGGGCTTTGCAACATTTCGCATAGTCTAGTAGCGAAGGTTGGCTAAATGTAGTTTATGTAATAGTATCCAAAGCCATAATTATAATTATATAATATGTACATATACAAGCAGTTTTATCACGCAGGCCGGTGATGTATATATACAGTCATCTAGGAATAACAACCTAAAGCTCACAAAGAACTTTACTGTCAGGATTCTCGTAGATCCTCTAACTCCGCTCTAGTCACAACCCATCACTCGGCATCACTAAGAACAAGAAACTGCCTGGATATGTATGTATGAGTCGCGCGTATGTATCTAAGGAGTTTGACAGTTTCTTGTTATAACAAAGAATTGTGGGCGGCTAGTAGTGAATGCCACGTATTTCCGTTATTTCGGAACCATCTTATCAATGTCAATGATCCAATCTCCACGTCTCAATCTTATACCATCAATCTCAGCAACCCAATGATCCTCACTACGCGATCGAATGCTCGATCGAATCAACGCCAAGGATCTCTTGTTACAACTCTATGCATACGATCTCTTCTCACATATTCCATACATATTTACCGTCTCAAAACAAACAAATTCCCCAGCTTTATGTATTTCAAATCCACACCAGCAGTCCAGTAAGTCTCGGCGATTATGAAGCGATATTTCGTGAAATTTATCGATTATTAGGACTAACCACGACCCACAAACTGGGATTAGGTTTATGACTGCCATTTCGTGTCTCCGTCCTTTTGTGAAGTCGTTTGGGCTCTTCATACCCCATAGACTTTACTACTATCACTTTAAACATCACTACGAAGGTCAGTTAGTAGAAACGACCCCATATCCATCCTTTACGAAGTAATACTTAACCTCATCCAGGTTAAGTTCTGTGATCCATCGGTACATGGGCTGCTGCCGATGCAAAATGTATGTTTAAACTTGCCAGTCTTAACTACATTTCTGAGATTCTAAGCTATAAACTTAAGTTTTCAGAGCAGCAACTAATATTTTGTGGAATATATAGCAAAACCACCACATTGCGGCTTTGAGGAGGAGCACAAACAAACTGGTAAATACCTAGAATATCTTACTACCCGCTGTACCAAGACCGATTAAGGGCGTTCCTCCTTTACTGCACATAGCTAGAGTGGCATTGTTACTCTAGTTGGATATACAGAAAAGGAGGACATCTATCAATCAGTCTTGAGACAGCGGAAAGTAGGATGTTCTGGGTGTTCGCTAGGTTGTTTATGTTTTTTTGTCAGTGTCGGTAGGTATTCGTTGATGTACTAGTTCTTTCCAATCGGTCTTATAACTAATTATATTAGTAAACAGTTGGGGGAGCCAGAGGAATCGGGAGCTTCTCCCTGTGATCGGTGTTATCTGTACGTATCATCTGGTGCTGATTTTTCAAAACCACTATTTGCATACAGAGATCTAATTATCCAATAGAGAACACCCAGGAAACGGCAAATACCTCAGATGATTTATAGGTACAGCCATATTAGTTTCGAAATCCCATGTTATAAGTATTATAGCTAATATCAATTGAGTAGGGCAAGGGTGAGTAGAAGTGGATGAAACTCCGCTACTACCCAGGCTGCGTCACCTAGGGCCCGGCCACCATCTCCGTACGTATAAATCTATTATAATCTTTCAAAATCTTTATTCTTTGCAATTTATGTGGCTGGGACTGGTGGGGGTGTATTGACTTACACCTCTCTGCCAGTCTCCCACTGATCCCGAAGTATGGGCGTGATTATCTATTTGAATATATTCTGAGAAGCGCAATTGCAATTATAAAAAACCCATTGATAAGATCAGAGAAAAGTCTAATCATTAGAATAGTCAACACCCAGGAAAGTGGCAACCAGGTAGCCCATTATCCGATACGGGGGCGCTCGAAGGTACAGCCACCCTGCAAAAGTGTTCGTGATTCGCCCGCTGGAGTGAGACATGATCGACATGAGACAAAGTGGCGTCCATGGACATTGCGGGTAGGAAATATCAAAAATACAGAGGTTTGCGACCCATTCAACACCGTGCCGTTCGATAGATATATAGTAAAATAAAATCCAAATAGGTTTTTCCGCTAAATAAGAAGACTCTTTCAACACTGTACCCGCTGAGTAGCAATAGAGTAAAAATACAAATAGGTTTCCGCAATCGTCCAGTACCCGTTCACTGCCTGTTCGTCAATACTTCGTATACCAGCCCTTTGCTTGAATGACGGCCTCCACCCTTCGGGGCATCGATGCTGCAAGTTTTTCAAAGAACTCCGGGGGTATGGTTTCCCAAACTAAAGGCAAAACTCTAGCCAGTTCCCTCTTTACAGCAGGTGGTCCCCCTTTGGTATCAGCAATTCTAGGGTACTGTTGTTGAAGCCTCTTCTTGAGTTCTACCCATACATGCTCGATAGGATTAAGATCTGGAGAGTAAGGTGGGTGGGCTTCCAACTCAATGTTGTTATGATCGAACCATTCTGTGATTATTCTGGCTGTATGAACTGGTGCATTATCATGTTGAAAACTGACATAAGGGTAGATGATCAAAGCACTTCTTAGAACTGATGGGAGATAACGTTTGATGATCCTAAGGTAGCGGATGCCAGTCATACTCTCGGGTACTGGAACCAAAGGGCCTTTATTCCCCCGTAAAAACAACCCCAAACCATTAGAGAAATACCTCTATCTTTTGGCTTTGGATAGATGCAGTCGGCAAGCCATTTCTCGTCTGGCTCTCTGAATACCCAAATTTGACGAGGGTCTTTAGATCTCTCAACCGCACACTCATCGCTCCAAATGACACTCATAAACTCCTCAATACCCCAGTCTTTCCGCTGCATTGCCCAATCTAGCCATTTTTTGACATGTTCGGGCTTCAATAGTGGACGGTGTTTGGCAAGCCATTTCTTAATATTTGCCTGCCGTAAGACTCGATCGACCGTAGCAAGAGAAATCCCAGGTGCATATTTGTCTCTAAATTCATTCTTTGTCATTCTCCGATTATTTTTGCTGCTTTTACCAGTTCTTTCTTTTGCCGGCGGCTAAGCAAGGGCGGTCGACCAGAGCGGGGAAGGTGTAACGGAGCCATTTCAACTGTCTGGTGTATGAGTACACACAGGGCCCGATTACATGCTGAGAGTTATTGTTAGAAGCCAGTTGCACGGTGATATGCAAGTACCGGCAGTGTGGTTAGCTACCAGCTGTTAGAGTAACTACATTCCGGGCGCTAGGAAGAGGATCTATTCATGGGAGCAATGACTGACGAGTCTATGCCTCGCCAGTGACTAGAAGACCGGCCAGAGTGAAGCTCTGATTGCCCGGTGATCCTCTGTATCCTCCGAGCATTGTAAGTCCGCCGAAGGGCAGAGACTATGCTAGGGAAGTCTACAATAAGCGAAAGCTCTACAGCAATGATTAAGCTTACACTGAGCGGCAGCTCATTCATGCAGGTCCTCGGTTGTGTGGCAACCAAGGCTGCAGGTGTTACAAAGGCTTTGACTAAGGGTGGTTGCCTTGGGTAATCGGAAACACCTGCTGACGCTTAGAGAAAAGCGGGGTAGCGGTGGTATTGTTTCCGGTACTGAGGGAAGGCCCACCGGAACTTAGTAAAGGAATTAGGAGCGGAGAACAGAGGCCTTCGGAGTATAAGTACTCAGGTTCATTCTCGCCCTTCAGTCCTGTTCTCTCCGGTCTTCATCAAAAAGAAAAACCAAATTCTTATCGGTAGCAGAGCCCTTAAAGATTATTGAGTTCTAGCGATAGTATCTTTGAATAATCTGCAACCTGATTGTCTATCTTGCACGGCCGTCTCTATTCTACTTCATTCTATTTCTCTTAGAAGAGACCCCCGTTACAGATAATCTTTAAGGCTCAAGTCACCTTCAGATTATTCTTCCTCTATACAAAATGTCCGCCCTCTCGGCTCCAGATGCACCCCTTCAGATTGAATGGCAGCCGGTGCCCCTCCAGCTTCATGCCAACGGGCAGACACAGCTTGTCAAGAAGCCCAGGACCGCTCTACAGACCTACATTCCCGGCTGTGAGCCTGTCTGGCAGGATACCGATGAGGTTTCCTTACAACAGTTCTTCACAGAGCTTCAGACCTACCTCCAGCACAGCCTGCAGAGTCAGTTGAACCGAGGCAGTCAGGCACTGCTCATTGTACAAGAGCGCCAGGCAGCACAGAATGCTCTGATGGCAGAAGCTCTAGAGTACATGAGATCGGAAGTCAACTCTGTTCAGGAAGAACTCCGGAGGTATGCAGAAAGAGATGAACTGAATGCCGATGTTGATGCTATGGAGATTGAGTGGACCAATCCGGCCACTCCACCAGACTTTGTTGCCGAGATACAGAGAGCTCTTGATGAAGGAAGGTTGGTGGTGGGTAGACCAGCAACCCCGGCACCACTTTCAGTCTCCAGGTCCTCTTCCAGAGCAGCTACCAGGACAATGCAGCGGAAGACCAGCCCCTTTGCAGCATTTCCGGTCCGATCCACTAGGAGAGTTATCCCTATTGTGCAGCCAGCGGTGGGGGCTTCACCCTTACCACCTAGCCGCTTCGGTGGAACACATCCACTCCTTGGAGGAGCCGACCGAACCTTTGACTTTGAAGGAGAGTTCTTCCCAGGTGCAGGCCGAGGACCTCCTAGTCCGCTAGCCCGGAATCCAGGAAGGTTTACCATGTCTGGGGCTGCTCAACCAGCAGCAACCTCACCACTAGCTAGCAACCCGGCACCAGTAGCACCTGTGGCCCCTCCTGCTGCGGCCGCCGCTCCCCCTCCAGCTCAGGCACAGGGAGGAAGTGGTGGGAATCAGAACCCTCCACCTCCCGCGGCCCAAGCTCCTGCTCCTGGAGATTCAGACAGTTCAGACTCGGAACCAGAAGGTGGTGATAGAAGAGCCTGGCGGAGATATTTTAAGAAGAAGTTGGAAAAGCAGCAGAAGGATCTGTTGGCTATGATGTCCCAGCAGTTCCGATCTCCGGCCGCCTTTTCCCCTTCTACTTCCACCAGGGCTCGAGAACCAAAGGCACCACCACCTTCCAAGTTCCAGGGCAAGGCGGAGCAAGTGGAGACCTTTATCCGGCAATGTGAGAATGTCTTCTCCATTGAAAGCCTATCCTTTACCTCTGAGGAGGTTAAGATCCGATATGCAGGCAACTTGATGGAAGGTGAGGCAGCGATCCGATGGTATGAGGCATACCATAATTCAATTGATCAAGCCTCCGCCAACCGCCTTGCTGGGATGCCGGTGCAGTTGGATCAGAGATGGAAGCGCTGGGATTCCTTTGTGGATGCTTTTAGAGCTGCCTTCGGTGAAGCCATCTCTAGAGATGATGCTGTAGCCCAATGGAATACCCTCACCCACACAGCTCGAGGAGGAATAGACCTCTTCCTGAATACTATCATTCAGCTGATGTGGAAGACTGGCTATGAGGGTCAGTTGGTGGATGATAAGATTCATAATTCCCTCCTCCCGGACCTAGGTATGAGTTGGGCTCTTTTTAATCCCAAGCCAAAGTCCTTGATGGAGCGGATAGCTGCTCTAAGGGAGTTAGGGCACACCCATGAGAGGTACCAAGGGATGGCAGCTGAGAAAGCGCACCCTCGGACCAAGAAAGATCCTCCCGCTCAGAAGGACCAGCAGCCTAAGAGGAAAAGAGAAGCTGCGAGCTCCTCCGGACCTCAGAAGACTCCAGGACCTAAAGACAAAGCGGTGGAACTAAAGGGTATCCCGGGGGATATTCTAGAAGAAAGAAGGAAAGCAGAAGTATGCTTGAAGGTATGACCTTCCGGTACTCCCTATTGGTAGAGTGCATAGACTGACTTGTGCAATAGTGCGGCAAGTCCAGACACAAATGGACCGATTGTTGGTCCAAGGAACCTACTGTTGTCCGAGTGGCGGCAGTGAGAGTACAAAAGCGGAAAAGAGGGAATGGCAAGTCCAACTCTCAGAAGAAGGCTAAAGTGGCTGCTGTAGTAGCAGAAGATCCACTTGTTGTACTCCCGGAGGTTACAGAAGATTTTGTTTTTCAGCCTGAGCAAGACTCGGACAATGAAATCATCTGGTAGGAAAAAGTGTCTGTTTTAGTCTATGTTTACTAGTTTTCTTTTATATGGGTTTTCGGTTTCTATGCTTTTCTTGAATAAAATTATGATTGTGTTTCCGCCTATTTGATTGCTCCAAGCACTCTGAGGATGGGTTTAAGACCCGAAACAGCTGGTCTGTCAGTGCTCTACCAAAGTTATATTTGCTACCAAGACACTTCCAAACCGCTGCTAAAAAGATTACTACACAATACATCTGCTATACTATCGCTTGGGAATAGAACCAAAGGATCTCTGATCTTAGTAGTGCCCGAAGCTATTAGCTATGTTGAAAAGACAAAGAGAACCAAGTCCGGAAACCGCTGTTAAGCAGAGAAGGTTGGAACAGAGGCTTCCCTCCTTACCAGTACATGGAAAAAGACCTATACTGAAGGCAGGACTGTCATGGACAGTCAAAGGAAAGGATGAAGGCGCCCAAGGGTCTTTCCTGTTTGACACCGGTTGTACAGGAGCTATCCTCAACCAGAGTTTTGTCAGGAAACATGGGATTCCCTTAGTGCGGCGGGATCAACCTCTGATAATGCTTGATGCTCAAGGAGATGTCATGATGGGAGGAGGCGAGTATTACACTCACCCGGTCCGCATGACTATGGGAGATCATAAGGAGACACTCCGATGGGAGGTGGCTACACTGGAAGAAGGAATGACCGGTTATCTGCCAATTAGTTGGGCTAGGAAGCATAACCCGGACATCAATTGGGAACTCAACACCATGAGCTGGAGGAGTGACTACTGCAAGCAGAATTGTCTCCCAGCGGCCACCAAGATTGAACTGATCTCTCCATACCAGATGTTGGAGGAAGAAGAGACAGTCTATCAATTGGTTGGTTCAGTATGGCATGATGAGGAAGGAGGTGATATTGCCGAGAAAATACACCACCTATACCGGGATTGGGCTGATGTGTTCAGTCAAGAGAAGATTGAGGAAATGCCGCCGCATTCCCATAATGATTTGAAGATCAAACTCTTGCCTGGCACCGCTCCCCCATTTGGCCCACTGTACCCATGTTCCGCTCCAGAGTTGAAGGCCCTCCGAGAGTACCTGGACAAAGAATTGTCTTCAGGAAAGATCTCTAGATCTAGCAGCCCTGCTGCGGCGCCCATACTGTTCATTCCTAAGAAGGATGGGACATTGCGGATTTGTGTGGACTACAGAGGATTGAACAAGGTTACTGTCAAGGACAAGTACCCGCTGCCTATTATGAGTGAGCTCAGAGATAGGTTGTTTAAGGCCAAGATCTTCACAAAGATAGACCTGAAGAACGGCTTCAATTTGATCAGGATAGCAGAAGGTGATGAGTGGAAAACCGCTTTCAGAACCCGCTATGGACTGTATCAGTATAATGTGATGCCGTTTGGTCTATGCAACGCTCCCTCCGCCTTCCAGGCAATGATCAATGATGTGCTAAAGGAACTACTGGATGAAGGAGTGGTCGTCTATATTGATGACATCCTCATCTACTCGGAAACTGAGAAAGAGCATGAGCTACTGGTCAAGAAGGTCTTACAGAAGCTTAGGGAAGCTAAGCTCTGTGCCTCGATCAGCAAGACATCCTTCCATGTCCGAGAAGTAGAGTACCTAGGCTATCACATCTCGGAGGAAGGAGTATCTATGTCAGAAGACAAGGTGGAGGCAGTTAAGGATTGGCCAATCCCTGAGAATATCAAGGCAGTACAGGCATTCCTCGGATTTGCAAACTTCTATCGCCGCTTCATTGAAGGCTTCAGTAAGGTTTGCAAGCCATTAACTGACCTCCTGCAAAAAGACAAGAAATGGTATTGGACGGCAGCACACGAGCAGGCCTTTGAAGAACTCAAGAGGCTGTTCACAAGCGCTCCAATCCTCCTTCATTTTGACCCTAGTAGGAGAACGGTGGTCGAGACAG